ATATAGCAGTGTTTCATTTTAATCATGGAAAAATGTGGATTTGGGGCTTTTTTTAAACTGAAAATTGGGGATTTTTTTAAATCAGAGAGAACCAGCACCCCTATGTATCTTCTTCATCCAACTCCTTCTCTCCCATATCTCTCCCCACTATCCCTCTCCATCTCATCTTCAGTTTCCTCTTCCCCTTCTCCCTGGGAGGCCTTAATCTGATATAAATATTGATAATAACAATAATGATTAATATCCGTGGTGTGATGTATAATCTTGGAGCCCATCATTGCAAAGTAGAAACTTGTACAGAGAAATGTTCATTGAACAATGAATTTCCCATTTAAACAGAAGAGAACCAGGGGGGATGTTCAAGGGTGGCTCTCTGAAAAGCAACTGTAAATATGTCGGTGAGGATCCAGAATGACGATGCAGCGCGAGGACCCAGTTGGAGTGAGGATCCAGTTGATCACTGCACAGAGACTCTGCATCACATACACTCAGTTTGCAGGACGTGATTATCCACACCACCTGGCCTGTGAACTGCGCTGGAGATCTAAGAAGCAAGGTGAGTTCTTCCCTTCTTGTGCATCCTTGACCGAAGCAAAGTTCAGCGATACCGGGTCAATCTTCACTGTCTTCACCCTGTGCCCTCATTGACACTCGAAGCATCTTGTAGTCTTCAGTAGGCTTGCCTAGAGCAAAGCAAATGGAAACTTAGCAAAGGATGACCTGTGGGAAGGGAGCAAATCTAGCTGACCACCTGTGCTGGTTTTGTAGGGCTAGTAGCTGGTAGACCTGACTGAACAGATGCAGGGAGGAAATCCATGGAGTATGGAGATGTGACTTTTACACAGCACATCAGCACTTCTACAGCTCCAGCTATGAGTCCAGCACCTCCAAACCACCGCTCAAAAAGCTTCATACAGTCAGATAGCAGCCTCTGCTTTTGCAAAAGTGAGGAAAAATGATCCCTGCCACCAAGTTTGAAGGAGGTCGTCTACAGCATGAGGGCTCTGGCGTGTGGTTGGTGGCTCCTCCTGGTTTCCTCGCAGACTCCGATGTTTAGCCGGGTGGAGAAGAACCAGACCTTCAATTAAAAACACTTCCCAAACTGCTAAATGGCAGATATGTAACACAGCAGTGTGACATTCATACTTTCGCTGCTGTGCCTCCAAACCATTTTACAGGAACCTGTCAGATCTGATCAGACTTGTTTATTCTACACAGAAATGTAGGACCTGAGGCAGTCCTGTTTAAAAAAAAATAAATAAAAAGACAGAAAAAGCACATATTGTCCCTGGCAGTTCCTTGGTTTTTATAACAAAGGCAATAGCTGGTTATTAACTCTTTATTCAAATTGAAACGACTTCACTGCTCTGTTCTAGTACAATGTGCAAACAACTCCTCCTGTTGCCTTGCCTTGGAAGGTAATTCAATTAAAAGAAAGAAAATATAGACTATCGAGACAGAGAAAGAAGCATGCCACGAAGGAAACAAAGCAGGTGATTTATACACAGCATCTTGGAATTCGTCCTTAAACTAATGCTACTGGATGAGAAAGCAGCTTCCCTCTGGCTCCGGTTTACAAATTCTTATCTGCTTAAGGCTGCTCAAGAAAGATTTCCAGCTGACAGCATTATTGGTAAAGATAAATCCTTCCCGGCAGTTTACAACTGCATCCCCACTATGGCAGCATCACCCGCGCCTTCGTGTTTGCCTTGACAGAGGCGGACGGGTCATTGTTTAGGGTTCTGCAGCCCCTCCTCGCAAGTCTAATGTTAGACACAGCATTTCCCTGCACCGAGCCGCTGACGGACTCAGTCTGTGACACGACTCGTACAAGCCGATCTTGGACATCTCGCAGAGCCACTCGAAAAGCCTTGCTATCACAGCCCTCCATTCATGCAAAAACTGCTCCGCGCCATCCTGCGCAGGTGGGGGAATCTGGAAATATTGGTAAAATCCTTCTGCTTTACAACCGTGAACACCAGCCTCATCATTAACCCTTTGTACGCCCGCCATGCCTTCCAAACGAGGAGCTCGACGCTCAGCACCCAGGGAGCAGTCTCCATTTTTCAGAGGCTCCATTGCGTGTCCCCTGAGGGGAAGAGCCAATAAGTCTTAACGATGTGAAGCATTAAGACAACGGCTGTGGAAACAGGGCCCTTCTTCGCTCGCCCTTTCGGAGCAAGTCTGACATCCTTGGTCTCGTTCGCTGCCCCGGGGGTGAGACTGCACGGTGCTCACCGGCACGTGGGTGCCTATTTGGCAACCTGCACCTGTGCAAGAGCCGCTCCTTCCCAACGGGACCGACTACACCCTGCTCCCCTCTTCTGGGGGAGACGCACAAGACCCAGCCCCGCCGACCTGGTCCGTACAGCCCCCTCGCTAGACTTGGCGCGGGACCTGAACAGGACAAAGGAAGGAAAATCCCGGTCCTTAAATGGGGAGCCCCTGACATCCCCTCCCGTTCTCTGGAACAGGCCACGAGAGCTGGGTCAGCCCCGGGTCCGTCTCGCCCGGTGCCCGGTCGCGAGGGAGAGCCGACGGGCTCCGAACACAGGTTTTGCGCCCGGCTCCCCTCAGCCGACGGTGCAGGAGGCTCGGGGTCGGCGGCCGTGCCCCGCGCCGCCCTGCTCGCTGCCCACCAACGCCCCGAATCCTCGTGCCCGCTAGTGACGGCTGCCCCTCACGCCCCTGCTGTCGGGGCCCCTAATTCCCCTGCTCACTAGTGCGCGAAGCCCCTAATTCTCACGCCCGCTGGTGACGGCTGCCCGCGCCCACCCCGCAGCCCCCTGCCTACCTTTGGGGCGCGCGTGGTGGGCGCGGGGCAGCGCGGGCAGGCCGGACAGGCTGTTCCCCATGGCCGCGGCGCTGTGCCGGATC